AAATTTGCAAATTTTTCTTGAGAGTTTTATTTTAAATATACATAAATATAAATACTTGGTTTTTATGTTTCGTTTGGTTTTTTTAATAAACTATACACGTCATGATGTATGTAGAATAAACAAGTGAGTAACATTTGTCAATAATTTTTTGAAATACATGCTTAAATGTTATTATATCAATAGTGTGTGTGTTTTATATTCAAGGACAAAATAACAAGAAATTTAGAAATTTATGAATATAATATAAGTAAAGAAATTTTTATGACTGATTTTATAAAGTTGAAAAAAATATGTAACTGATATACATAACTGCGGGTGACATGTCACTCTAACTTTGAACACAAATGCAAATGCAATAAATATTAAAAAACTGTAACATTACAATATTTTGAATTTACTTTCTTGTTTTTGCAATGTATAAGGTATGGGATGAAAGTCAACCCCAATTTATATTTGAGAAAAAAAGTCGATAAATTGAGACTTAACTACTGCATATAAAGTTTTGCTGAACTAAATTTGTGATTTAAAGGTTTGTAGGAAAACTTTAAGTTAAAGTAAAATTAAAGAGAACTTCAATAATTTCTAGCCGTTTATAAATTTTACATTTGGCATGTTTCTCAATTAAATTGGAAGAGAAAATTTGAATTTAATGTTTTTGTATCCAATATTACTAAATTTTTTGTTTTATCTTTGAAAAAGAAAATTTTCTGCATTTCTATGTTATTTTATTGGCTTTTATTTTCTGTCACAATCACCAATAACAAAACATTGGAAGAAACAAAGAAGTTAATTATTGCTTCTTAAAATATTAAGAAGTTGTAAGTTTTTTATTATTTAATTTTACTAAATAGTGTGTAATAAGTTGAAGAAACACAAAAATTTAACGAGATTTAGTAAAGAACCCGGGAATTGGCTGATCATTGAATTACCAGCTCGATATATGTATTATAGAATACGACAGTAACGGAAATAGATGTAATTAACATCTAGTACTTTTTTATCAATTGGACGAACAAGATATTAATATTAAAAACAAAAAAAACGAAACGGCAAATTCATTTGCAATTAAAAATAAAAAAAAACATTTGCAATAAAAAATACGCTGAAATATTAAAATATATGTATATGAGACATTGGCATGTTGTCGGAATAAGTTTTTTATATCACAGTGAAAAAAATAAAAATATTTCATGTTCCTTTAGCATTAAGGGTAACAATTTAAGAAGAGCTTTAAATAAATATTAATTGAAAGTTCTATTACAATTGTAATAGAAATGGCATGTAAAATTTTTTTGGTTTCAAGCATATAACCAATATAATCAATATAATCAATAATTATGTATATACAGGGTGATTCTGAAAGTTATACAACAACATATTCTACTGGTTAGAAGATCGAAAATGCGTAAAACTTTTGTTCCGGACTGGGTGCCAAATTCCAAGAGTTTCCGAGTTCCAGGGATTTTAACGAATTTTTACGAAATTTTTACTTATTCAAGGTTTTTGGATTATAACTTCCATTCTGAAAAAGATAGGAACTTTAAAACAAACTATTTCTGAAAGGTCTAGTAAAGGGCTTAAAATAGACATGCTGCTTGATTCTGCATTTTATGTACCTTCGGAATACTAAGTATTCGAACTTTAGGGAAAATCAAATTTTTCTCTTGTTTTATTTTTTCAGTTTTTTCTAACTATGTATGTAGATAATTTCGTAAAAAACTTTTTAAAACCTTTAAATTTTTTTTTTAGAATTTTTCCCAGCTGCTTAAGCTTTAATTTAAGTTTTTAAACATTAAAAAATTTTTAATGTTACAGAAGATGTAGCACTAAAACTATTCTTATGTCAAGATTTTAAAGACCCTTAAAGGCAAGAATTTTAAGCGTTGTAATTGTCAACTATCATTAATTTTTGGTGACAATTGAAAAAACAGTTGACATTTCGAAGAGCCGTTGATAAAAATCTGAATTTTCATGTTTTTATTGAAATGTAACAAATAATAACGAAATTGAAACGAAATATTATACAAACGTTTTAATTGAAAAACAAAAATTGAATTTAAAAAATTTGAAATTTTTGAAAAGAAAAACTAGAATTTGTATTAGGAAAAACAAAAAAATCTAGTAATCAAAAATTTTTTTTCGAAACTTTTTTTGGTAAAGAAAATTGATAGATTTTTTATTTTTGCCAATTTTTATAAGAAATGGTACCTATATGGTTTAAAAATTTTAAATGCATTTTTCTCAGATTGGGTGCAATTTAAAAATTTCAAAAAAATATTTTCGAAATCTAGACACCATTTAGCATCTGAAGTTATTAAAATTATCCAGCTGAAACGAATTTTTAAAGGCATGCCATATACATTTTGACATTTACTTTAATTGAAAAAAATTTTTAATAGGAAAATTAAATTTTTTTGAACAAAATTGAGTATGTAAAAAATTACGTGAAAATTCGTTAAAATCCATGGAACTCGGAAACCCTTGAGATTTGCCACCCAGTCTGGAACAAAAGTTTTACTCATTTTCAATCTTCTAATCAATGGTATATGTTGTTGTATAACTTTATGAATCACCCTGTATATGTACGTGATCACATATCTTAGTTCATATCATGTTATGGACATTTTACACGTGAAACAAAAGTTTTTTATATAATAATTATGTTATAAATTTTATTAATTTTTAATGATATCATGTAAAATACTACATATTTTGAAAACCATATTTAAAATATGAAAAACACGTCATCATTATAATTCCAATTTCTTGCATTCGTACATATGGTTGCACACCCACTTATGATTTTGTTACCATCGGATTTCCATATTAAATAGCTAAAATAACAGTTAAAATATTTATGTTGTTTTCCGCTTCACATAATATTTTTCTAAAAAAAACGCAAGAAATAATAAATATACAAAAAAATTTAAATGCATTCACAATCGCAATTAATAAGTGCCTTACGGTAATTTTTTTCATTTAATTGCAATTGTACAAGTTTTTAATTCGTTTTTTTTTTCTCTATATTAAAAAACAAAATTAAAACAAGAAAAAATTATTAATAATAAACTTAAAACTTGAAAATATACTCAACTTTCAAATAAAAATTAAAAAAAAAAAATTAAAAGATAATAGGTAAATATTGTCAATAAAACAGGTAACACAACCGGTTTACCACCACCTCCATCTTCTTAAAAAAAAAAAAAACGAACAATAATAACTATTGTGGCGAAGCAAACATAAATATGTGCAAAAACAATGAAGAGAAAATGGAAAATAAAAAAGAAAAAACAGAAACGAAAAGTGAATATAAAAGAGAAAAGACAAGATTTTGTATATTATGACGGTCATCTGCATAATAGCAGATCCGGCCAAACTACTATTATATTTTGCGTACATAAACACATTATTATTTTACTATGGCATTAACATGCAAATGTGTAATTGTGTAACAATGTTTTGTATATTTATTTTTATTGCAAACTACGAAATATAATATAGGTGTAGGTAAAAATTTACTGTTAAAATCACAGTATATCGCGTCTATATTAGAGAGTGTATAAATAGGTGGGTAACTTATTATATTAAGAAGCTTGGAGAAAACTATAAAAACACGTTGTTATAAATGATTTGTTATGTATGTATGTATGCAGATATAATTGTATGTATATGTAGATTGAAATTAATTCTGGATTATTGTGGGATAAAATAAAATTAGTTAATTTTTTTCTGATTCTATTTTACACGATTTTAAAAGCATAAAGAAATAATTGCATATTTATTATAGAAAATTCAAGAAGACTTCACTCCTCCCTTCTCCATCTCTTTTTCGAGTTATCGCCCCTTAGTGTCTGAAAAATTCTACTTTTCAACAGTTTCGATATGGCAAACAATGAAATTTTAAATTTTTTAGAAATTAATGAGAAAGAGTGATTTACTTTTGGCACTGAGAAACAGAATATGAAAAGAATACAATAATAAAATGGTAGTTGAACTTAAAATTTACCTCAAACTTGCTTTATATTCAAACGTTAAAACCTAAGGTGTGGAAGTTTAAGATTTAAAAAAAAAAGAAACCAAAAAATGAGTTTATTTAGTCGAAATTAAAATTTTTTTCCCTTTAAAATTTCAGATCCTCAAAATAGGTAAAATGTCATAATTTCGAGACTTTATTTTTTCAAAACTGTAAGCTCTTCCGAATTTCTCTATAAGCAAAAATATTCGAAAATTCATCAAAAAATATAATTATTTACTCTGACTTTATTCATTGCCAACGAAAATGTAATACAATTACTTTTAATTCTTATTCTTCACCTAAAAGTATGCAATATTTATTTTAATGAGAAAAAGGCGTTATGAATATTGTTTAAGAGAAATACGCTTCTTGACAAGCCATTTGATTCTTCCAATTCCCCTTATTATATTATTATTTTTCATTAGAAACTAGATGGATTTCCATTAACTTATTGGTTCACCAAGTTTTTATATTAACAGTTAACATTATGTTGTTACTGTTTAAATTAAGCTACTAATTTTTATATGCTTTTATTAACTATACTTTTGAAGCACAGAAAAAGGGAAATCGTCATTGTAATGAAATGATTTTCAGACCCGCTTTTATACTTTTGTCTTTATAGTTCTCCTAAACAGTTCAAAAAATTTAAAGCGAATGTACAATTTTGAGTACAATTTTTTCGTAAATGGGTTTTTAAGCTTCTTATAGTTAATCATATTTTTAATTAAGTAGCTAGTATTGTAATTTTTTTAGAGTATAAACGAAATATAAATGTTTTAAATACATTAAATTTTAAATTGAAATTTTATTGCACACGAATATTATTTTTAATTAAAATAAAGCAAAACTAAATATCTACATATGAGTATGTGTGCATGTTGTATGGAAAAGAGAGACTTTAAATTTTTAAAACATTCTTTAAATTTTTTTATTTTATTTTTGTTTTTAATATACAATATAATGAAATGTTGGCATTCAGTATAAGACCATCGTAGGGAATGGTATATCGTGCCGCGGTTCACAAAATAACGTATCTTACCTTAATTTGAATCGAAAAACAAAATAAAATTTTCCGTTTTCCAGATTTTTTGTATCTATATATTTATTAGAATACGGCGCCATATCATTCTTTATGAAACGTTATAATCTATATAAAAATATTTAAAAGATGTTTCACTTAAGAACTGTTATACTAACATTAGTTTTAGGTAAGATAAAAATATTATGAAGAGAACCAGTTTATTAATAAGTTTATCAGAAATTAATTTGAAAAAAAGAATAAAAAAAATAAAAAAACAATGGATTTATTTTAATTCAAAAAAAAAAAAACAAGAAATTTGTTCAAAAATAAGTGAAAGTTTTTTTTTTCTTTTTTGGTATTTTGTCACAAAAATGTTGTATAACATCTTTTGAATTTCGGAAGTGTGGTATAAATTAACACTAGAAAATTAAAAAAAGCATTCCGATGTCAAATAATTTTATTTTTTATTGAATATCTAAATATTTCATCAGATATTTTATAGAATATTGCATAATTCGGTTGATATTTTTGGAAGTTATTGGATAAATTTTTTTGTTGATAATATTTAAATTATTCATAAAAATCTAATAAATAACGTATGTTATTCGAATATTCGATTTTCAAAAAAAAAAGTGTTTATATATTTTTAATATTGAATGCAAATATTTTTTAATACCTGATTTTTTATAAGAATTCTGTATCAATGATCGGTTTAGTTCTAACTCCCTAAAAGAAATTTGAAAACGGAGGGAGAAAAGAAATTGATACAAAGATTTGCAGAATTTTGATTCACGTATAAAAAGCATAAGTTTGCCAAAAAAACAAATGAAATATAGCTAATTCTGCTTTATAACAAATGAATTTTTAACAATTTTGTAAGGGTTTTCAATTACTTAAATTTAACTTAAACCTTAAAAAGCTTGTTTGGGATAATTGCTCTGGCAAAAACTGTATGTTTCATAAATCTTCAATTTTATATATTTTTTACAATTTTCAAATTTTGCGTTTTCGAAACTTTTTTTGAAGCAGATTCAATTAACCGAACGTATTTTGTGGTGGATTGCATATCAAACATGTATTATTGTATAGATTGCTTATGGAACATGTGTTAATGTAGATTGTTTTAAATGCAATTTTTTGACTTATTATCGAAAATTATCTGTGGAACAAGTAATTGTCCTTGTTCTTTTAATTTATCAATAAATGTTATGTATCCAACATCAACAAGGTTCGAATCTTTGTAATATTATTATTATAGCAAAGCTCATTTTAAAAATTTAAGTAAATGTTTAAGTATTAAATATAATACTCGTATTATAACAAAAAATACGGTTTATAAATTGAATGAAAAATAGTGCAAAGCAAAATAAAGAAAAAAGGTAATGGAATATCATTTATTGAACATGTTTCTGTACACAAAAATGCGGGGTTCAGGGAGTATGTATATTCAATGTCAATGCATTATTGAAAGTTCTTCCTATATGTTTTTATAATTAGCACTGTTTTTCTTTCTCTTTTTATAATTTTATTTTTTAATATCATTTTAAATAACAAGATGCAAGTTTTTTTCTTAACAAGGACAACTAATTTTAAAATATGTGTAATCAAATAAGTAGCTTTTGGTACCCATATCTGTCTATATACATATGTTTGTAATATAATTGTATTCAAAATGCAATGCAAAAATCAAAAAATAATAATTCATTAAAACTTTATAAATGTGCCATGTTCTCTGTTTGTTTCGTGTATGTAAAATATTTCATCGTGTTCACGTGGCGATCTTGCAGGAACTAATTGTAAAACAATTAATATTGAATTAGAAAAATTAATTTTTTTTCTAGAATTTCATTCTAGTTCAATTTTACATAAAAGTTAATGATAAAAACTTTTAAGTTTTTAATTTTTCAATATTTTCAATTGTTTCAATTCAACAAAATTATCTCTTATTTTTAACATTACCCAAATTCTTTAATTATCATATTCAATTACTGTAATGCGAAAGGCATCCAGTATTGCAGAATTTTTACTTTAATATGCTTTGTTATAGTTCACCTACATATTTGCTTTATTGTGTGATAAACATTCGCATTAAAGGTGTGTATTGAAAACCTTAAAATATAAAGACGTTTTATTTATTTTTACTTAGTTTTATTTTGAATACAGGTTTGACGTCGTAATATCACTGCATTGTACCGACACACAAACATATGCATGTATTATTAATAGATTGATTTTATTTTGTATGTAACTATGTTATGTAGGAGAAGAAAGTCTTATAATGCATGATTGATGAATAATCTTGTCCTCATTTCCAAATATGAATGATTTATAATGATGTTGAAAATGTTAACCGAGTACTCATATGTATATTATGTAATATGAAGATGTTTATAATTGATTAATATTGTGTAGGTACAATATGTGTGTGATAAACATGTCAAAAATTTTTTGACTATATATTATATGCTTATAAGACATACATATTTATTATTCTTATTATAAAAACAATATAACAATAATAATAAATGAGACATTTTTGACATTATTGCTTTTCTAGTATTTTAAAATTTTTAAATAAATAGCAATGTGTAATATAAATGACTCATGTTATTAAATCAAAACACTTCAACGATTTATGCGGGATAAATGCCTTTACAATACGAGTATGAAAATACAAAGTCAGATCAGGTACAAATATTGCAAATAATTTCGTTGCTGATTTACTTGATTAATGGGTGAATTATAGTTTAAGTAGTAGTTATATAAAATTGATGTACCTTAAGAATCAAGATTTGTCAACGAATGTATGGGCAGAATGAAATTCATAATTTTTTTAACACGTTTTTCATTTGAGATTGCTCTAATTTGATTCTGTTTGGCTGATATCATTTTTCCAACAACCTGATTAGAGTTACCTTGGCATCATAAAAATCAAAATTCTATTAAATTATGCATAAATTGGATTGATAAACACTATGTGGCCTCGAAGAGAATATTTTTAAATAGAAAACCCAGAACTAATTTAACCGGTATTTCAACTAAATTGTTGAACAAGAAAAATTGAGATTATTCTGGGTAGAAAATGAAAAAGATTTAATTTCTATTTTTATATTTAGTTCATTATAAATACGAACTTGATTTACTTGATTTCTTTATTTTGAAAACATAAATGAGAGTAAAACAATAAAAATAACTTTCAGTTTTTAAATATTTTAATTCTATTTTTAAAAAACGTATTGTAAAAACTGTTTTGTGTGTAAATTCCAACGAAATACCTTCGGCATAATTTATTTTGATAATTTATAGACTAACACAAGTCCAAATATTTTAGATTTTCCAAATTTAAGTGCCCCAATTAGTTAATGGTATGAAATCGAATGGTTTGGCGAAAAGCTATTTAAAACCAGGCAACATTTTATTTGAAATCGCTCATTTAAAGATAAAGGTCGACAATTAACTTTTTTTTTGTTTTTTTTACGACAGAAAATTTTGAGTTTTTACAATTTTCTACAAAAATGTTTTATAAAGAAGGTATAACTTAACAAAAAAGCCAAAAATTACAGTATATTTTATCTCTATGTGAACAATAGGTTTGGTTCTGTTGACACGGCTATCAGAACATACGCTTAGATGAAGGTGATTAGGTTAAAATTTAGGACGAGAAACCTTGATTATTAAAGTATGTAACTTTGAAAAGAAAGTTCGATTTTATTGAAAGTAGGATCTTTGTAAAATACGATTTTGGATATATTTTTTTCAAATTTTGTAACACGGTGGTCTCATATTTGCTATATACCACTGTATAAACCTTCATGAGTAGACAAAGCTACTTTTATTTTACTTTTTTATTTTTTAAGTATAACTCCGTACCAATAATTAAATAAGCACATTATTGAAAATTATTTTAAAACCTTAGAGCAAGGGCTTTTTCGTATATATTGTATAAGGTAAATTAAAATGTGGTAATTTATTAAAATTGAATTGCCGATGCATTTAATATTCAATTTTTAATCAAAAATTTGCTAATCCTTTTTGCTACAACCTGTAAGGAATAATATTTTACATTTACCGGGCTATTTAAGGTCGATATTGGGATATTCCCTAGGAAATCATTTTGAATACATTTAAAGTGAATTTAGTTTTAGTTCTTGAATCACAAGTTGGTGTTATTTTATTTAATTCAAATTTTAGAATCGTTAAGCATTTGATAAGAGCATTCATTTAATAAGAGTCAAAAATTTCAAACTACAAATGATAAACTACAGTTTTTATCATTTCAGTTGTTCTTAAAAAAGAAATGGTTTTAAAAAACAAAATCAGAACTTCTTTTTTTTTCAGGCATGTGAAAATAGCTAGTACAGCAACAAATAACATTAAAATTTTAACACGCCAGGAATGGCAACGTATTCAATTGCTTAACAATATCGTCCATAAAATTATTATTATTACTCGTGACAAAAAATTCAATCACTTGTGTTTTCAAAACCAGTCGGCTATTAGTTTAACGTATACAAAATTTTTGATTGATGTTTAAGAAGCCATTAACTTCTTAATTATTTTTTTATTAAAATTTTTAATATAGTCAAACACCAAACGGTAAAGAGTCAACAACTTTATAATAAATCTTTTGCCAATTTATTCATAATAAAAACAAATATTTTCGTGACCAGCATTGAAATCGATAAAAGCACTTGAAGTTGCTATCATCATTTACTTATGTATGTATGTACATAATACATATATTAAAAAATATGTGAAAAAATTAATAAAAAATTCAATTATGAATTTTTATTTTTGGAATTCAAGCGCGTTTTTTAAACGTACCAACAGTACGAGTACGTCAACAATATGTAAATTTTTTAGTGCATTGAACTCTTAAGTCTAATTGAAATTTGAGGTTAAACATTTTTCCAAAAAAAAAAAGAAATTAGAGAAAAAAGCAAACATTTGAAGTTTTCATTCATGCAAAGAATACAGAATTTTCAACAAACATACAAACATATATGTAAATTTTTATTCAATTAGATTTTTTCAACAATTGTTTCACTTCAATTCATTTTTGAAAATTTTTCTATATGAAATATGAAAATGAATTAATTTTTCTTATTAAGAAAAACCTATTGAATTTATTTGTAATTTTTTTGTATTGTTTTTATACTTTTAGGATTAGTAATAGGACAACAACAGCCACCTAGAAGACCAGGATTAAGAAAAGTAACAAAAAGAGTTACAACAACAACAACTCCATCACCACCACCAATTCATATTTCAGAAAATTCTGATGATGACGATGGTACAAGTGAAGATTGTCCAGAACCAAATGGTTATTTCGCTGATGCTGAACAATGTGATAAATATTATGCATGCAAGTATGTAAATTTAGAAATTTTTTCTTTTTTTTTTTGCGGAAAAATCCATAGATGAACAAAAAATGAATATACCAAGAGAATTAATAAAAAAATACTTATTTTCAGTGAAGGTGTTATAACTGAAAAACTTTGTCCTGATGGTATGGTGTTCAATGATTTTTCAATTGATCAAGAAAAATGTGATTTACCATATAATATAGATTGTTCACAAAGGCCAAAATTACGTAAGTGTGTTGTCGGTGAAACTTGTTAAGAAATTTAATGTTAAATTTAAATATAGTGTATAGCGGGTGCTCTTGTTTCATTTGGGCAAAGAAAATTTAGGAAATCTATTAAAGAAAAACTTTGAATCTTAAATGAAGTAAATGCTCCCTCATTTAGGATGTTTTAATATTGCAAGTAATTGAAGATTTGTAATATTTTGCAACTGTTAAAAGATTCAACCTAGCAAGTTTATTTATTATAAAATCTCTGACATAAAAATAGACCAGATTGAATTTTCGAGAATGTAATAATTTAAATTTAAGCTAAATTGCAACTTTACTTCCTGCAAAATAAATATTAATTTTACATTGATTGAATAAAGAAATTCAAACTATACAATTCCTGCGAAATAAGATGATTGAATTTTATGGATGATTCCGCCTTGAATTTTATAATTAAAATTAAAATTTTTAAATTTAAACAAACATATATATAAATCTCAGTGTAACTATATATGTACAGTAAATAACTTAAAACTTTACGAATTTTAAAATTTTAATTATTAAAAAGTCATTTTAATGTGGTTTGGAGTAAAATATAATTATTTTAATAAAAAAAAATGTAGAATAAGGGTTTTTTTGAAAAGTAATTGAACTATTTTTTTAACCCAAAAGGATAACTGACAGCAAAAAAAATCACTCGAATATCTTTGAAAAGTAAATGCTAAATCGGATGTCGAATTTAAAATATGTTTTTTAATTTGGCATGCACATACGCAAATAATTTATTATGCTTAACTGAACAATTAATTCAGTTTTAACAATTTTTTTTTATAATTTGTGTAAAAAAATTTAACTGTCAAAAATTGTGAAGGTTGCGCATTACAATGATTGTAATGATTTCATGTAGAAATAAAGGAAAAGAAACTTTATTTTATATTAAAAAATTTTATTGAATTGAAAAATGCTTATTGAATTAAATTATTTGCGATCGATAGATGTGTAAAAATACGAAACGAAAGCGAGGTTAAATATCTTGGCGTGAGATTTAACAGCAGACTTTCATTTCGGAAGCATCATGAGACAAGTCTGGCAAAAACCATCAGAACTCGCATTTATCTTTGGAAGAACAAGGAGCTACTATTCGTGGCTGTGGCAAAGGGAGCAAAAATCTACTCTAAATGCCTATGTAAGAAGTTATAGAAAAGGTTCAAAGATTTGCATATAGTTGCATCATGAGAGCCGTGAGGGTTTGTCTGACTGCGGTAATGGAGATGTCACAAACTGAGACTTACAGTGACTTGAAAATTGATCTTGAAATCAGAAAAAAAATGTTATTTGTTTAACTCATTATTGTACTATATTAAAAAAAAAAAAACTTTAAGATATATGATTTCTATGATCGACGATTTACGAGTATAAGATCGTTTTATATGATTTTGAAGTACTTATGCATTTGCTTGGTTTTTACTTCAGTATCTTAAAAGGAAAAAGCGTATACTGTTTCAGTATCTGCAAAAACAGGAAACTTTTCGTGGAAGGGACCACAAAATGTTCGGAAGATCTCAGGAAAAAAAACGAAAGGTGGAGATCGCAACTTTGGGCAATCGTCCAGGGTTCCTGCAAATTCAAGGAGCTTCAGATCAACTACGATCAGAAGCGTTACATAACAGATATAGGGTAGGCAAATACAAGTTAGAATCCTAACGAATCTCCTAAGCGGACATTGTCGGCTAATCTGTAGATTTCGTGGGAAGAGAAGGAGACTTCAATGCATCTTTTTTTAAAGTCTGGATATTTAATTCAAACAAGAACTGAACTCTGGTTGACTTTGACTATGCAGCGGAAAGGCTGCGGCGAACGTTGTTTATGAATTTTGTTGGATCGGATGGTAATTTAATGAAAAATAGATGTGTACCCAAATTCTTTCAATAATTTTCACCAAAATAAAACGCCATGCAATTATCATCAAATTAAATTTATAAACAATGTTTGATGTGTTAACTCTGACTAATAATACTGTTTCAATAATAAATTTTGGAGTCTAGTGACAATATTGAGTTTAGTTTAATACAAATCGATCTTTTCATATTTGTTTACTCAATAAATTTAATTTTAAATTTTTGATTTGGGATTAGTTTTAGTTTTAATTACTCATATTTCATAAAAAAAAACTTAATACCAATATCAATAATTAAATATTTTTCTTTCATACAGAAACTCCACAGCCAACATTGAATTGTCCACGTCTAAATGGTTATTTTGGACACGAAAATAAGAATATTTGTGATAAATTCTTTTATTGTGTTGATGGTAAATTTAATATGATCGTGTGTCCATCTGGCTTAGTGTTTAATCCTAAAACTGGTATATGTACATGGGCTGATGAAGCTGGTCGTACTGGTTGCTCATCTGAAGATGTTTTTCAATTTACATGCCCAAAAGTTAATGAAACTGAAGCTGCAACACATCCACGTTACGCTGACCCAGATGATTGCCAATATTTTTATGTTTGTATTAATGGTGAAACACCAAGACGTAACGGTTGTAAATTAGGTCAAGTATTCGATGATGAACATAAAAAATGTGAATGGTCAAGAAAAGTACCCGAATGGTAAGTTAATTTCGAAAATTGATTTTAGATTAAACGAAAATTATAATTTATTTAACTCATATTTCCACTTAGTGCTGATTGGTATAAAGATAAATTGACAGATGCAGAATTAGATGAATTAGAGAATCCTAAACCAAAAAAACCTAAAACTAAAGGACCATCAAATAGAAGAAAACAACCCAAAGCAAAAATTGTTGTTGTTGAAGAAGATGAAGAGGCGGAAGAATAACTGCGATTAAAATTTTTATTTTAATTTTTGAAATTAATTTTTGTTTTATTTTTGTATTACATTTTAGAATTTTTTTAAAATTTATTAATTTTTTTAGTAATTATAAAAACAAAAAGAAAACACTAAAATATACGCTAGAAATGTTTTAAATTTCATGCTTATCGTCAGATCTTTTTATTTGATTTTCAAGTATATTATTTAATATAACTTAGCATTTTATGATTTTTGGCCTTAAAGTGTTGATTTCCATTAGCTACAACTAGTACAAGTTGGTATACCTATTTAACAAATTCATGGCACAAAAGAGTAAACGGTATGAAAGAGTATTCTGTTGCAAGATCTTTTGAAATAAAATAGAATTTTTTGTTCGGCCACCTTGAATCAATGTAACCTTCCTAGTTTCATATGGAAAAAATTAAAAATCGGTTAGAATTTAGTAATCAAACTACAATTACATACATAATATATTATTTTAACATGAGTAAGAAATTGATGTGGAAAAACTCTGTAATACTCGTACTTATATGGAAAATATATTTATAGAATCTATTATGTCAGTTGATAGAAACTGAAAATTAAAGGGAATGAACAATAGATAATGAAAATCAGGATTTGGAGCACATTTATTGAACTGAAATATTTTTGGTTTTTGTTTCCCATAGAGCGAGGTTAGGAGCTATTGGCGCATTGCGATTACATAAGCTTTCATATGTACAAATATACACTATTCAATAAAATTATTATAAATTTATTGAAATTTGTAAAAGGTCCTTATACAGAAAATATGCAGCTCGGTTAGTTATGTATTAATTTCACAATATCGATTTTTTTGTTAATGTTTTCAAATTGTTTAAATTTTTTTTGTATTTGAATTTTTGTATTGTAAATACCACAATACTAAAGATATATTGGCATTAACAGCTTCTTAATATACATTTATAAATGTTAATTTTGAGAAAGTTTGACCCATGTTATACACAAACCTGTCACCTATGTTATACACAAACCCAAACAAAGACCGCAAAACATGGTTAGAATTTAGCATTAAAACAAAATTACTTACAATTTCAATATTTTAAATTTGAATACGGGCCATTTTCATACATTTTCACTCATATTTTACCCTCACTATAATTCCTTACAATAATTCTGCATTAATATTTCGTTAATATTAACAAGAATTTATTTATATTTCATTTGTAAGTGCAAATATATCTATATCGAATTGAAATATTTATAATATTGTATTCAATAAATTTCCTTGTTTTCTTCGAAAATTTTATTAATGTTAAATTATTATTATACAGCTTTTGATTTTGCAAAATTTTGAATTAGGAATTTTAAGGAGAATAACAATCTTATTTTAAAAGTTAAATTTCATTGGAATTTACTTGAAAAAATTATTCACCTTTCATTAATTTTAATATATACATAGGATTGAGATGGTCTATGCCGGCAGTACGAGAATAATATTCATTTGAATAAGTATGTATATATAAACACAGTTACCTAAATATCTAAATATTTACATTTTATGAAATATTCTATTCTATAGAATATCTGAAACGGAAAATTAGCACAGAAAATATCAGAATATAATTATGAATAATTATGTAATCCTTTTTCTTCACTGTATTGATTAAACTGTAATATTTTGGCAAATTTAAGCATTTTATGTGTGTACTTATGTATTAAAATGTAAATGAATTGCTAAAATAAATGTTTATTCATGATCAGAATAGGTTATATGTATACAAATTTCTATTTATGGATATATATTTGTACTTAATATATAAATATGATATACCAATATTTAAAATTAAGGTATTTTAAATAAATCAAAAATTAATTTTTTCTTAAATTATTGTAAACGCAAAAGTTAATTGATTCAAAAATAATGAAATTTTCATCTAGAAATTTAGAACAAATCGTCTATCCCGATTATTTTGTTTGAGCAAATTTGCTAATATAAAAATTTTTTAGCAAAATTTTGAAATAAGGTAGGTATAATAGAGTGTACTATAGTGTTCTAATTAATTAATTATTGTAAATTATAGTCGATTTGCATTTAGTTCTTAATAAAATTGTCTTAATGGCAGAGATATTAATAAAAACAACCGCCTTTTTATTTGATTCCAAATTTCAATTTTCTATATTTTAATATTATATATATATATGTGTATTCTGTCGATATTTTTGATTAATTTACCAAATTAATTTCAAAATTATACACAACACCGAAAAATCATAGTACTTTTTTTTTTTTTTGTAAAATTTGATCTTTGCTTTAAACCCAAATTACTCTGCCGACAATTTCCTGAAAATTGATTCTAGTTTTCATTCTTTAAAGTTTTATTTTTATTCCTTCCAAAATTTTGTAATCAATTTACTCGAAATATGTAATTATTAATTTGATTTAAGAAGCTTCTGTTATGAATCGATTTTTTGTTATAAATGTATGTATATGATTGATAAGTTTTATATGATAGCAATAAAAACCATTTTATAGTTGCAACACCGAACGTTTGAAATTGAAAATTTTAATCCAGTTTGAATTTAGTCGCCGTGCAGCTATTTAGTCATCCGTTTAGGAAGTGGTTTACGGCATATGTTTATTCAAAAGCTTATTTGCACAAAGGTTACTGGTTTGTTGTTGATTTTAAATTAAACTCATGTTAAGATAAGCAAATTCAATATTGCGCAGATATAGAACAAGATCTAAAAAGTAAAATACAAGTAATCATATTCATTATCTTTAACGTTACGACATTAAAATTAATTTCCTTACACGTATATAACATAATATTAAGTTGAAATGTTCGACTATTTACATGGTATACATATATTTACATAAAATGTCAAAAGTTTGACATTAAATTCTTTTTTATAATTACATAATATAAAATTGATTGATCTTTCATGTCAAAATATTATCAAATAAATTTTCACTTCTGTAATTCTGTTACAAATAATCATTTTTCTTTTTATTTTCATAAAGTTTTATTGATAGTACAAGTAGAAAAGAAAAGGTCGAGTAAATATTTTAGGTAAATATTCTCTATATTACATATTATGAGTGTATGTACATACATGTATATAGATACATATATTCATTACTCGTATGTTCTCATACATTTCTCATGATTGATTTGAAATCGATTGATTGTTTCCCATTATATACAAATCTTGGCATAAGATGGTGATGAGATGTGTTATACACACTATAAATCGTATACATTGAAATTTCATATAATACATATTTTGTAAATAAATAAGTGCCTATATGTATATTATATGTTCTCAAATAATTTACATGGATATTAGCTATAGAATATGTATACATACGTTATGTATATGTAATATGAAAATTTCAGGTAAGAGGAATCTTTTGTTTTTCTCTGATTTCAAAAATTTTAAATAAAAAGCAAAAGAGGTTTTTAGATTCAAAGTGAAAAATAAAAGAAGTTTACATTAGAATTATTTATTCATCACTGATGAATATTTACATTTTGTCTATATATACACAGTATACACCTACTTATATGGTTCAGGAAATTGAATTTCAATTAAATCACTTTTTAAATAACAAAAAGTGTAAAAAACAAAGCAAAAGACGACTACTTTTCCCTTGTAACTTGTAGCCTAGCACTGAAGAAAATAAATTTACATTTTGAAGACTATGTATACGTAAGAATTTATTGATTTTACTTTTTATATTGTTATAAGTAAGTTATCATGTTGTATGCAAAAAAAGAGCAAATAAAGTGTACCCATGTATGTACGTACATTATATGAAAAATATAAGGAAGTTATTAATAATAGGAATCAATTTCTTTGAGAAATAAATTCAATCTATACCTAACCGTATTTGTTCATACATTTATTATTTACAAGCTTTGTATAGAAGTTTTCAATAAAAATAGAATTGTTATATTGTATTCAATTGTATTTTTGTACATATACATGCATTATGTAAAATATGCATATTATGTATATATATTGTGCAACTATGTGAAAATAAATTGCACAGATGAGTTAAAACATTCCTTATCATTTGAATTCAAGGAAATTATATGAAAACTGTTATACGTGAAAAAGGAAGATTACAATAAAATTAAGATTTAAGAGTATAAGATTTTATTTGAAATAAAATTAAACTAAATTTTTTTGTGTTTAACTAAAAATGCAAATTTTCTGCATTTCACTGGCTCGTATTTGAATACAGTTGAAAATAACAACTTACTTCTAATAATAATTTTATAAACTGTTGCACAAAAAACAATTATTTCCACATGTGTAGATACGTTAATGTTCTATACACATATATTTTTAAAATAATTTGAAATCGTGTATAACTTTCACATTGTAAGAACAAGAGTTTAGCAGCTGAAATCGAATTTAAATTTAAATTTGAAATTTTAATAAATAAGTTTTTTTAATTGTTCTAAGCTTAAGTATAGATTTTTGCAAATACCTAGAAAGTTTATAGAAAATATAAGGGATTTATTGAAAACTATTACTGAATTTCAGAATTAAAACAGCTTTTGAATAAAAAATAATCATTGTACCTAAAATTCAAATGCAATAAGGAACGTGATACTTTCTAGCAAAAAAGTTGCATTTTTTATGATACTTAAAACTTTAACTATGACTTACGATAAGAACTTTAATTATGATTGAAAGGACTGTTAAATTATTGGCGTTATTAGGATCAGCTGTAGATCAAAATATTGGTCTGGAAATTGCTTTTTTATATGCATTTTATAAAATAATTGATCACGTTGCATGTTGTTTTTGAGTAAAATTACTTATTATTTTAAACTTGGTAAAGAACAAGCTTTCCTTATCCTTTATGGTTTACATAACATACTGATTTCTATTTCCATTTATTGTCCTTGTTAAAACAAGTTGCAAAATAAATAGGTGCGCGAATATTTTTTGCATTCTTTTGAAATACAAGACACGATTTTTCTGTACTACGGCCATATTTTACTAATATGCATAAATATGTCATCTAGGATCTAACTGCATAAGACATAAAAAGTTATACTCGTTTCTTTAATATGACATTATTGAACTGGAAATCTTTTGATTTGGATTTTGTGTAATCTTAAAACATGCCAGGCCCTTCTTTAGCACTTGAGCAATTAAAATCCTAATTGATATA